AAGAAGAAGAAAAAGAAGAAGAAGAAGAAGAAGAAGAGGAGGAGGAGGAGGAGGAGGAGGAGGAGGAGGATTTATACTTCATCCTTCACTCGGAGTCTCAGAGTGGCTTACAGTCGCCTTCCCTTCCTCTCCCCACAACAGACACCTTGTGAGGCAGGTGGGGCTGAGAGAGCTCTGAGAGAACTGTGACTGGCCCAAGATCACTCTGCAGGCGTCATGTGAAGGAGGAGTGGGGAATGCTGCTGGGGTTTTTACTGTTTTGCAGGCTAACACTATTTTGCAGCAACAGACGAACACGTCTATGTCCTCTGGTTATTTGCAGGGGGAGACCAACACCGTCGACGTCCAGTGGCAGGTTCCTCGTTTCTAATGTTGCCTCTTCTTTCCCTTGGACTGCTGCCTTTCCTTTAGTCAACACGCTTGTTTCTACCATTGTAAAGAAGTTCATGGCGCATTTTTTCCTTCAGGGCAACCTTTGGACTGGCACGGTGCCAGGACAGGTACGCTGTGATCAGCAAGAAATGTACTCTGCTCTCTCTTTCCTTTCCAGCTTTATAAATAACCCGTATGCGCCTGTCGATGTAGCCCCTGTAAGTTTTGTAAAACCCCTGAGTACATTTGGGATCATAACTCACCACCAAAGAATACTGAAGATATGTCAGTCCTGGCACACACACACACAACATTTGCCACATTAAATTCTCCTGCAATTCCCCTTCCAGTGTAGGGATTTGGATCTGGATTTAAGGCAATGCTGTGATGAGAAAAGCAAGGGGGTCCATTAGACCCCCTCACCCCATTGAGGTGAACAGGAAGAAACGATAGACTACACTCTCAAGTTATTGGTCATCTGAATAATCCCCATCTTGGCAAAGACTCTCATTTAACCAAGTGTTACTATATGTGGGTGCAGCAGTGAAGGAAAGGGAATTTATCTATTCTCTTTCCTGACCTATCATATTTATGTACCGTTTTCTACCACAACCGTTCTCAAAGGTTAAAGCAATTTCAAAAATAGAAGAAGAGAAGAGATTGGATTTATACCCCACCCTTCATTACCTGAAGGAGTTTCAGAGCAGTTTACAATCTCCTTCCCTTCCCCTCCCCACAACAGACACCCTGTGAGGTCCATGGGGCTGAGAGAGCTCTTTCGAGGAGTGCTCCAGAGAGAACAGCTCTGAGAGAACTGTGACAAGAAGAAGAAGAATTTGAACCCTGCCCTTCCCTCAGAGTCTCAGAGCTGCTCACAATCTCCTTTCCCTTCTCCCTGTGAGGTAGGTGGGGCTGACAGAGCTCTCTCGAGGACTGCCCTTGAGAGAACAGCTCTGAGAGAACTTATGACTGACCCAAGGTCACACCTGCAGCTGCATGTGGAGGAGTGGGGAATCAAACCCCGGTTCTCCCAAATCAGAGTCCGCGCTCCTACCCACTACACCAAACTGGCTCTTCACAAATAGAAGCCAGGAGGAAAGATCCTCCACTGCAGCTGACACGATACACGGCCGATTAAATGCAATCTGTGCTGCCAGTGGTGTTTTCATGAGAGGCTGGTGGAAGCTGAATTGGGGAGGGGTCCCAGCGAGGCCGTGGTCCCTTGGACGGCCCCCCTGAGTCGTTAACATGGGGAAGGTCTTTGGCTCAGTGGAAGAGCCTCTGCTTGGCATGGAGAAAGCTCCAGGCTCGATCCCCGGCATCGCCAGTGAAAAGGGCCAAGAAGGTCGTAGGCGGCTGTGTGAGACCCTTCCAGAGCGGCTGCCAGTCTGAGCAGACGATACTCACTCCGATGGACCAATAGTCTGATTCACTCAGTCTGTACATTCATCTACTCAGTATGGCTTTTTCAAATTAATTTTATCGGCAGAAAACTTTTGAGCTGAAATAAGTAAGGACTGTGGTCTCACACACACCAAACGATCCGCTTTCAGTGCACTTTCCAACTGGATTTTGCCACTTCAGACAGTCAAACCCAGTTGAAAACTGCACTAAACATGGATTATTAACGTGTGTGACGGCAGCAGAGGTCATTTCGGGGGGGATCGCGGGGGATCGCAGTTCCCCCGGGTGAGGTGCGGGGGGCGGGGCACACAATGAAGCCCCGCCCCCTGCTTCCGGCCGCCCCGCTTCCGGCCCTCATTCAGCCAGGAGGAGGCAGGAGAAGAGGGAGGGTAAGTTGCTCCCTCCCCGCCTCTCCCCACCCCTGCCTGCCTGGGGCCAGGGAGGGCCTTGGCAGG